CCCCCACTTATACCAATGAAGGGGGAGCAACGTCTTCCAGTGACACCAATGATGAGGCACAATTCCTCCCAGTGACACAAATGATAGGGTCCAATGACATGAATGATGGGGCAGAATTCCTCACACTGACACCAAACAATGAGGCATTATTTTTTTCTCACTGACGTCGGGACCTTTTCTACTCCCACTGGCCGCAGTTTGGCCCTCTTAAAGTCTGAAACCGTGCTTGGTGGCTAGGGATGTCAATCACCGGGTCCCAGCTGGTGATTTCTGGGCGCCACTCGGCGATCGTCGGGTAAATCTGACAGGGGAAAGACCTGTGTGTAAACAACTTAGGTCTCTCTCCTGTCAGCAAGGACATGCCACTTTGTATTTCTCTGCAAAGCAGAGAAATACAAAGCAGCATATCTCTTAGTAAAACACAAACACAGCACATAATGTAAAACACACAGCACAAAGCTATCCCTTTGATTGCCCCACATGTTAACTCCTTCCTGCCCAGTGTCATTAGTACAGTGTCAGTGCTTTTTATTAGCACTGCTCATTGTATTAGTGTCACTGGGGATGTCAGTGGCAGTTAGTCAGTTCCCACCCAGTGTCAGAATGCCCACCGCAGTCCCGCTATAAGTTGCTGATCACCGCCATTACTAGTTTAAAAAAAATAAAAATTCCAGAATACACACCGCCATTTGTAAACAATATAACTTTCACGTAAACCAATTAAGTTACACGCGTTGGGATTTTTTCTAGCAAAGACATGTAGCAGATTACACTTTAGCCTAAATTTATGGCAAAATTTGATTTTTTTTTTAAAATGTTTTTACTGGATATGTTTTATAGCAAAAAGTCAAAAATATATATTTTTTTTTTCAAAATTGCTTTTTTGTTTTTTGCTCAAAAAATAAAAAATGCAGAGGTGATTAAATGCCACCAAAAGAAAGCTCTATTTGTGGGGGAAAAGGGACATAGATGTAATTTATGTACAGTGTTGCATGACCACACAATTGTCAGTTCAAGTAATGCAGTGCCATATCGCAAAAAATGGCCTGGTCAGGAAGGGGGGTAAATCCTCTGGAGGGCAAGTGGTTAATGGAGTGAAGACTTGCAATGCTGTGATCGTAACTGAACAACTTTTAGCAATTTAAGATTTGAAAAAGGTTTTCTTTAAAGAGCAAGTATAATATCAAATGCAGTATGCTTTCCCTTCCTGGCTTCCCTAACCCTAGCTAACCCACTCTACCCCACCCTATTATCCATCAACTCCATACTGCCAGGGTTTTTGAGGTAGTGGCCTAACAGAATCTCTACACCCTCCCAGCCTGGGTGTCCTTTCCATAATACAGGCACACACAGTACAACCCCATAGACTTCTATAGGGTCATCTCCTGAGCATCTCCTGCACTGGGAACAAGCACCATTTAAAGTTGTACTTTGAAAGTGTACTTACCCTTTAAGAAAACTCTGCTAAGTACCATCTTAGTAAATTTTAGTTACATAGTTCATCTGGCTGAAAAAAGACAAAAGACCATCCAGTTCAACCATAGAAAAAAAAAGTTATAATCCTACACCCACAGTTGATCCAGAGGAAGGCAAAAAAAAAACCCCCAGCAAAGCATGATCCAATTTGCACCTGCTGGGAATAAATTCCTTCCTGATCCCCCAAGAGGCAATCAGATATTCCCTGGATCAACTTTACCTATAAATCTACATCTAATCAGACCTTCTAACATAGCCCAAACTGATTCTGGAAAAACTACATCCAGTCTAAATCTGCTTGGTAGGTGGCTGGGGGCCAGTAAGTAGAGTTATATGAAGTTATATTTCAGCGTGTGGTTTCTGGTGGATGAAATGTCAGAGCCCTTTGGCCTTACTGGACAGTCTTGTTTCCTTTTTAGAGTAGGCATGAATAATACATGTGTTCAAATGTGTTCAGAGGCGTCCTGCTCACTCATTACATCACCTGCCAGTATAACTGACCCAAAACAAGCTGAGTAGATTGTCAGCAGGGAGCCAATTGAGCGAGTTCCAAAGTTTTTGTTGAGTGATCTTGACAGATCCACGTAACTGTGGTATTGCCTCATTTCTCACTCTGGTTCCCTGAGATCTAATGACATGTGTAATACTGAGGCAGAAGGTTATTTAAATAATGATTCAGCATGTGAAGCTTCAAGCTGGCAAACAGCTAAAATAAAGCTGAAACACAGATATATGAGCTTATTTTAATCTGTCAAAGAATTTGTAATGTGTTTCCAATCAGTCTTGAGATTTACACAGTCCTACCAGATAGCAAAGCCAGGCAGGTGACCTGCCATTCCTCTTCTGGAATTTTGCAAAACAGGTCACCTCCCTGTCCCCCAGCACGTGATTTGCGTAGGAGCAGCTTATTGATATGCTCATGCTTAGTTCTGTCCTTCTTAAGGCATGTAGAACATTTTCATGCAACAGAGCCTGATTACATGATGTATAGGGATTACACGATACTCATACCAAGTCAAATTTAGTAACTTGGAAATACAGTTCTAGGCTTCTTTTAGACTGGGAGGATTCCATCCTGATCACAGCTCAGACATCTGTGTCTGCTCAATTTCTGCAAATTCGGACAGAGCCGGCTCTATGGGCAGCTGGGAGTAAACAAACTTCTCTGTCCATTACACCCAATTACCCTCCAATCAGATCCGCCTAAACACTTTGGATCCTTTCCTGTTTTGTTTTTTTAATTTGGATTTGACCTCGAGGTAGGTGGGAGAAAACAGACACACCAGCCTGGCCATAGGGATGCATGGACCTTCTGGTCAGGTCCACATGAAAAACTAAAAGGCAGACCTGATCGGATCGTCCATCTGAAAGAGGCCAAAGTCTCCCCCTCTCCCCTTCCTCAAAGCCTTATACTCACCAATACAGCGATCTGCTGCTCTATATTTCCCCAGCTGCTCCCCACTCCTTGAGCATGTATGTGGAAAGATAGGATTTTTGTGCCCACCATAAATTCTTTCCTTGAAATCCATTGAGTGACACAAGAATTCTTTCACCTTCGGGTTATATTGCTGCCTTCAGGAAGATCGGACACTGGCAAACAAAAGAGAACTGTAGACTAGCCCAGCATATCCCTTCCCACTACCAGCATTCCTCAGTTTTGTAGCAAAGCAGTACAGAAGACATGATCAAAAACACAGTGGGGTGTGACCTGTGACCTTAAGGCATGGCTCACACTAATGCAATTTCAGATGGGACTTGAGTTGCACAGAATCACATGACAAGAGAAATCAGATTGTTTTCAATGGTGTCTTCAGATCAATGAAACTCAGAATGGGGCGATTTTAGAAAAGATTCCTGTACTACATTGTTGTGATTCCAGTGTGACTTTGGCTCCATAGAATTTACAAACCCTGTCCAAGTAGGATTACATAATTGCACTGAAAGTCGGATAAAAATCATATCACAGCAGTGTGAACCTAGCCTCAAAGGACTCCAGGGGTGATTGGAGAGGAGCACTCGATGTCCAAAAAAAGTCTCACTTGATGAATTTTATAGTTTATTGAAGATAAAAGTAAACATGTAGAGTCAATGAACTATAAAATTCATCAAGTGAGACTTTATTTTGGACATCGGGCAATCCTCTCCAATCACTATAAGTGTTCCCTGCGTTAACGCCTCCATTGTTGTTATCAGAAAGGTAGCAGCCCTAGAACCCAATGGAGTCTATTACTCTACAGTTGGGATATAACCAATTGGAAGAAATTCCCTCTCTACCCTCCACACAGTAACTTCAGCCTCCAGCAGCACCAGTCCAGCGCTGTCTCCCACTCAAATGTGATACCATCAAAGGACTCCAAGGAAAGGATTTTACAGTGAGCACAAAACCCTGTTTTATTTTTGCTCCATTGAGGAACACATGAAGTCCTTCAGTTTTGGGACGTCCAAAAGCAATCCTGCTGAGGGGTTGGCAAAAGAGCAAACAAATGGTAACAGGCCAGAGAAAAAAAACAACAAAGAATAAGGGACTGCTTGCACTACACTAGCCTAAGCACTGATGCATGCTGGTAGTAGGAGGGGTTATCATGGGCTGACCTACATTTTTTTTTTTTTTCCAGTGTCAAATTCTCCTGTAGGCGGCAGTATAAACACAAAGGTTTGTGTTCGGTGTCCCTCAATAGATACAACAGAGGGGTACCTATTTATTCCTATAGGGATGATGTGTATCATTGGGATGCATAACAGAACATAACAGGTGGCATCTCTGTAGAACTGAATCAGATTTTTATGTGCATGAAATACAGGCAGAGCAATTGTAGTTAGCTTTGTGGCTCCCCATGGGTCTCACAGTGTCAGAACTATGGATCAGTGAGTAAAAGACTATAAGGGAATCTTGGGGAAATAAAGTGGGGGGTGACTTACAGGATAACATTACAACCCTTCTATGATTTATTTTAATGAATGACTACATACACTATATTGCCAAAATTATATGGGGAGGCCTGCCTTTACACGCACATGAACTTTAATGGTATCCAAGTCTTAGGTGGGTTCAACATTGAGTTGGCCCACCCATTGCTGCTATAACAGCTTCAACTCTTCTGGGAAGGCTGTCCACAAGGTTTGAGTGTGTCTATGGAAATGTTTGACCATTTTTCCAGAAGCACATTTGTGAGGTCAGCCACTGATGTCGGACGAGAAGGCTTGGCTCGCAGTCTCCGCTCTTCTTCATCCCAAAGGTGTTATATCGGGTTGAGGTCAGGACTCTGTGCAGGCCAGTCAAGTCCACCCCAAACTCACTCATCCATGTCCTTGCTCATCATATGGACCTGGCTTTGTGCACTGGTGTGCAGTCATGATGGAACAGGAAGGGACCATCCCCCAACTTATTCCTAAACAGTGGGGAGCATGAAATTGTCCAAAATGTCTTGGTGTGCTGATGCCTTAAGGGTTACTTCACTGGAACTAATGGGCCAAGCCCAACCCCTGAAAAACAACCCCACACCATAATCCCCCTCCACCAAACTTTACACTTGGCACAATGCAGTCAGGCAAGTACCATTCTCCTGGCAACCACAAACCCTGACACGTTCATTGGCTTGCCAGACAGTGAAGTGTGATTCGTCACTCCTGCTCAGCCATGGAAACCCATTTCATGAAGCTCTCTACGCACTGTTGTTGGGCTAATCTGAAGGCCACCCAAAGTTTGAAGGTCTTTAGCTATTGACTCTGCAGACAGTTGGCGACTTCTGTGCACTGTGCGCTGCAGCATGCTCTGACTTCGCTCTGTCATTTTACGCTGCCTACCACTTCGTGGCTGAGTTGCTGTTTCTTCCAGTTGCTTCCACTTTGTTATAATCCCACTAACAGTTGAGCGTGAAATGTTTAGGAGCAAGGAAATTTCACAGATGGACTTATTGCACAGGTGGCAACCTATCACAGTACCACGCTTGAATTCCTGAGCTCCTGAGAGCGACCCATTCTTTCACAAATGTTTGTAGAAGCAGTCTGCATGCCTAGGTGCTTGATTTTATACACGCGTGGCCATGGAACACCTGAATACAATGATTTGGAGGGGTGTTCCAATACTTTTGCCAATATATTAATTAGTGTTTTGTAACATGGATAGTGTATTGCGCTATATGTATTCTAAATGTCAAACAGAAGTGGATATTGTTCAAGTCAAATGTTCTGTCTGCAACGCACCTGTGTTATTCCCTGGAAGTGATCCTAGATTAACAATTTTTACTCAGAGATTCTGGCTTGTAAAAAATGTTCAGATGTAACATTTTGTTCCATAGTGAATTGCTTCCATAAAGCACCAATTCAGTATGCTCAGTATGACTTCTGTTTGTAAAGGTGCTAGTTGCTGGTCCTCTGGCTTCAGTGCATTTTGCTTCACTTACCTAAACCAAGTATATAGGTTAGGCGTTTGACTTTCCTTGCTGCATTCTTCTTTTGGGATTGTGATTAAAAATATAGAATCCAGGTTTAGCTAGGCTACTGGCATTTTCAGAAGAATTTCAGCAATCTCTGCATAAAGTCCATCTCAAGAGTGTAGCTGGATTAGAACTTCCATTAGGTTTTTATTTTGTATTCTGCTTCTCAGCTGGGGAGATTTGCCCTAATTTTCCTGTTGGAACAGGAAGTGATGGGATATCTCTATAATGGTGACACAGACCACAACAACACACTTTCTTCAGTAAACAAGGGAAAAATTGGAACCTATATTTTCCAAAAAAGGTTAGGGTAGGAGGAGATCCAGAGTTGGTGTGTATGTCCAGGTCCATATTCTAGAGTCTAGTCACTTTGGTTAGGCACCTGTCATGAAAAAGCCTCAGAAGTATTATCTTTTCTCCACTTTGTAAGCATAAGGCTTTCCACTTTTTGTACAGATCTATGCAGATGGTATCCTCATTATTTGTCCACATACAGAATATAATTTAGGTATCATACTGAAAATGGAAATGCAACAAAGGCTTATTAGACAAAATGGTGGCCATCTGCACACAGACGGCAACTCCCTGTTCATAAACATGAATGAGATGGGTAAAAGATGGCTTCAGCTCCTGTTCTCCAGCCGTAGAGAACCATTCAGACGCATTTTGTCCTTTTTGGGGCTAATCATAGAGGCAATCTGCCCTGATTAAGCCCCAAAAAAGGTTGAAATGCATATGAGGAGTTCTCTACAGTAAAGAACAGGAACTGAAGCCATCTTTTACCCATCTCATTTATATTTATGAAACAGGGAGTTGGTGTTTGTGTGCAGATGGTCACTATTTTGTTGAAGTCTACTAGAGCCTAACAAACTGATCCTGTCTTGCACCAGTCTATTCACATGCTGATCTGACTGACAGGTTTTGGGGGCATTTGAGTGGTAGCATTTTCATTGTTGCAGACTCCACCTCCGCAACATCGCCAAAATCCGCACGTTCCTAACTCCAGAAACCACTAAACAGCTCATCCACTCCCTCATCATATCACGACTCGACTACTGCAACTCCCTCCTCACTGGCCTGCCTCGCCGCTGGCTATCCCCGCTTCAGTCGATCCTGAATACGGCTGCCAGACTCATTCACCTTTCCAACCGCTCCGTCTCCGCCACCCCCCTCTGCCAATCCCTCCACTGGCTTCCGATTGCGCAATGGATCAAATTCAAAATCCTAACGCTGACGTACAAAGCTGTCCACCATACTGCCCCCCGTACTACAACACCGACCTAATATCCAAGTACCGCCCAACACGCACACTCCGCTCCTCACAAGACCTTCTCTCTAGTTCCCTGGTCTCCTCCTCCCATGCCCGCCTCCAGGACTTCTCCAGGGTGTCACCCATCCTCTGGAACTCCCTGCCCCAACCCATCAGATTATCACCTACTCTCCTCTCCTTTAGACGCACCCTGAAAACCCATCTCTTCAGGGAAGCCTACCCCACCCCCTGCTAACTTGACGACCTCCTCCACTCTTCCTACCACTCCATCCCCCACAGCTTTCTCCTCTTGTGCCACCATCCCCTCCCTCCTAGATTGTAAGCTCGAAAGAGCAGGGCCCTCGATCCCCTCATGTTTTGCATTGTATTGGTATTGTTCTGTCACATGTTCTGTCCCCCTCTGCAATGTACAGCGCTGAGTGAATTATTGGCGCTTTATAAATACTGTATAATAATAATAATAATTGTTAAGGTCTTACTAAACTTGCAAATAGTCATGATGTGCAGAAACCTATGGTGACCAGTCAAAAATCATTGTTTATACTTGCTAAGCCCCAGAAAGAATCTGTCATGGATTGATTACAGTAAATCAAGTTCCTATAAGATACCACACTTAACATTAGAACCGGCTCGTCCGTGCCCACTGATCAAACTAGGGCTAATCTGTCCTGTCTTTCCTCTTGGTAGGTGATGGGGGAGCCTAAACAACAGAGGAAGCTGGTGGCAGAGATTTCTTTGAAGAATCCTTTATCAGAGCCACTGATGGGCTGCTGCTTTACTGTGGAGGGAGCAGGCCTTACAGATGGCCTTTTGCTAAAGAAGCTGTAAGTATGGTTGTAAAAGGGGTTCTGCTGGCAGTGCTTTGTGGGGGTAGGTGGGAGAGACCGTCATGTATAATCAATATTGGCTAAAGAAAAAAAAAGGTTAAGAGCCAATTCTCACCTTTGGATCGCTTTAATGAGTATTAAAACTTGCATTTTCCCATGTATTACCGCACAGCATGAGTGTTTCCTTTCATTTTTAATGGTACCCCAATGTTGGCGCTATATGAACCCAGTATAATAATAATATATACAGTAAAAAAAAATTATGTGCACCACAATGCACAGATGTGAATCCTGTGTGGGTTGTGGTGCATTACTTTTACAAAACCAGTGCTGGTCTTTTTTTCACAAAGTTTTATTAGGTTTTTAAGCTTCAACATGGCATACAAAAAGTACAATAATTAATACTATAATAGTACAGAAAGACAATATTGGGGAACAGAGCAAGAAGCAGTGTCTATCAGGAATAAAACAAAACAGGCGAGGGGGAGAGATTAAAAATGTCACAGATAACAGTGTGTGAAAGTGTCCTCTAATGACCTCTATGACCATGCCCTGTGAGTGGGGCGAAAAAAAATAAGAGGGGTCATGGCTTGGGAGGAGCCAAGCTGAAGCCACTTTTACCCTCTCTACACCTGGCTGTTTTCTATCTCCTTTCTCCCTGTGTGTGTATCGAGCCAGGCTAGGCTCTCTTAATGCCAGCAACCAGAATCAATGCGAGTCACCGGAGTATCGGTGGATAAATGCTTGGAGGGTGCTCAAAGTTTGTCTGGTTTATGGTCACAGTTAGAATAGAGTGGTACAATATGCTGGGATCATGTGTGCTGAAAGTCATGGAGATGAGGGTGATCAACATCTAGCAGGATTGTACAGCATATGGCATTTGTCCCTATTGCTACTATCAGGTGGAAGGAGGATAGGAGAAATTGTAGATGGAGAAGATTCCAGCTGAGGGATGGTGAAAGGAAAGAGTAGTGGAACAGCAGAGTGAACGAATGAGGGGAGAAGAGTGAGAAAGAATGAGATAAGGGGGAGGGTTTCGGGGGTTTGGCGGTCTTGGTTTTGTGTGGGGTTTGGGGGCGATGCAGTTTTAGAGTGAGAGAAGGGAATGATCTAGGTTCACACGGTGACTATATTCTAACCATAAGGAACCATGTTGTAAAGAATGGTGGGTGTGGGTGGGTGTCATTAAAAATTGCAGTGAGTTTCTCATGTATCATAGTGTCCATCACTCTCTGTTTCACCTTTACAAAGTCAGTAGCAGCAAGAAAAATGGAAACCACTAGTTTCCTTTGAAATCTGGAGAAGTCAGATACTGGCCTATGTACCAAAGCTTCCCGGAGATTCCAGATAAAGTTATGGTTCAGAATCAACCTGATTCCAAAACTGACTTTAGGGCAGTGCCACCATTAGAGTACCATGCTCTCGAAAACCTCAAAAGCAGGCAGAAGAGGCACCCAGGGAGGGATTTAGTGGTGCAGTTGGGGGGGGGGGGGTAGTCATGTAACAGTAGGAAAGCACCTTTGTAAGAATTTTCTTTTCTCTTGAGTTAATGTTAGGCCGGCATTTTATCGTTGTGGTCCAGATTTTGTTACAGTTATGTCTAAGGATTCTCCCTGGTTCCTCTCCCATTTCTCCATAGATAGGAGCTTCGACAAGCTTGTAGAGCTGGTAAGGGCAGTGTGTAGGCCTGTAGAATTTGGGTCCTTCAGGCAATGATTTTCTAAAGGAGTCAATATTATCAGATGATCTGTGCAATGTTTGATAATAGTGGTAATGCAATGTATGCTCTCCATGTATCAGAATGTTTCTGGGTGGAGTAATTTCCAGTATTGGAGAGATTTGATGCCATTGCCTGATAAGAGGTGATAGACATATTTAACACCTTTGGAAGGTCACTAGCAGGAAGCCTATCATATGTGGGGGGGGGATGAGGCGTTTTGTAAAATCCCAGAGAGTGGGAAGTGAGGCGAAATTAAATTGCTGGAATAATTCACAAAGTCTCATTGTCGTAGAGAATGTTGCATGGTATGCTTTGGTATTGGGGGATCGCTCATGCGAAGGTAAGTCAGATTAACTTG